TTGTTTCGTTGGAGGAATGGGGATGGAAGGGATGTGTGAGAGAGAGAGAGAGAGAGAGAGAGAGAGAGAGAGAGAGAGAGAGAGAGAGAGAGAGAGAGAGAGAGAGAGAGAGAGAGGAAGGACTCTTGAAGGGAGAATAATTAGGAGGAAGAGGCGTAGAGAAGAAGGAAGAGAGGTAGTTAGATGTGCAGTTGTAACATCTGGTCACTCATCTCCCCATCCCCTCACTCATGTAGCTGTACTCACCTAGTTGTGCTTGCGGGGGTTGAGCTCTGGCTCTTTGGTCCCGCCTCTCAACTGTCAATCAATTGCTACTAACTAATTTTTTCCACACTTACACACACACAGGAAGCAGCCCGTAGCAGCTGTCTAACTCCCAGGTACCTATTTACTGCTGGGTAACAAGGGCATCAGGGTGAAAGGAATCTGCCCATTTGTTTCTGCCTTATAACCTCGACCCCAGAGCGCTGTGTGTGATATATCTCTAAAGCCTATAATACCACACAGCTTTAGCGAGGTTGTAAACACCTTCCTGTTGTTAGGCTCTGATATTATTGGTCTTCATATTCTTACTATTATCATAACACTCAAAATAACTTAGGTTCTGCGGTGTTAATAACGCAGAACCGAGGGAAACTGCGATTTTATTTCTTGGTCAGTAAAGAACAAAATTGTTAGGGTATTTCTAATTAGGCTTTCATAAGATATTTTTAGTAGACCCTTCGGTATCTCAATGAGACGACTAAGATAACGAAAATGGGTGCTTAAACATGAGCAGGTGATTGTTCAAATTATGATTGGATATTTTAAATTTAGGCTGATACCGAGTTCCGTGCATTTATCAAATTTATAAGCATGCGCCATTCGTGGAGTGTAACCTGGGGAACTATCCATTTTTCTGCCCTGCATTTTTCCTAATTTCGAGAATATAATTGTGTCTGAAACGCTGTGAATGATTAGTAAATTTATAAATAAAGCAGGGGTCTCTGTCCGTTTGTCGCTCTCTCTCTCCCATTCCATATATATAATATAGCAAGCAGGACATTTTTGTTGGTCTTTAACATTAATGTGCATAAAAAATATTACAAGAAATTCTTAACTCTGCCCCAGGAACGGCTGAAATCCATGTGCATGTCTCCATAGGCGATATGGAACTAAAAACGTCTGCAATTATCTTAAAACTATCAAAGAATGTCAAGTTCATAAGATAAGACGTATCGACGCGCGCATTAACCCCTCCATGTGGCTGACCAACTGGAGGAAGGAGGAAAAAGATCTTAGAAATAGCCCAAGCCTATCCTTAGGCTTCTATTCGTAGAAATAGCCTATCCTTTTGGGCTGTATTTTATCTTAATAAACTTACCTGAACTTGATCATTCATATAATAAAGATTACATTTGATAGCGGAGACCTCCCACCTGTGATCATACCTGAAGAGGTTTGTTATGTTAAAGAGATTGTTCGAATTCTTCTTCCATGCGCGGCAACTGAAGGAAATTCGGTCCTAGTGCCAGTTCGATAACCGTTTTGTCAGCTTTGTAACAAATCAGAATTTTATCCAGCCGTCTTTCTAAGGTTCCACAACGTGAAGACACTGTTGTACTAAAGTGCCCTTATCCAAACCTACCAGAGGACCCAAAACAGAAAACGGGATCTCAATTTCGCGAGCCGCTACCATGTCGTAGAACGGCAATTTTTGCCCTTATATACTATTCCTTTCCCCCCGTCCCATCCCATATCCTAATCTTGACCCCTTCTATGTGCTATATAGTCGTAATGGCTTGACACTTTGCCCAGATAGTTCCCTTCCCTAGGTAGAAAATACGTCAAAATGCGACGTTCTATTAGAAGGACGGGCTGAATCATCACCTAAACAACAAAAACCAACCAGATCGACGCATACATTGTGGAGATGATCACCCAACTTGCTCAGGATCCTGCAGCCACTAATAAATTACAGCTATTAATTTTCCACTTAAAACTTAAAAAATGCCAAAAATCTATGACTTTCTACATCCCCATCAACACCACATCCAGCACATCCGTCAGCCCCTTAACGTACACCTTTCCTTCAAGTTCAAGTAAGTTTATTGAGACAAAAAAAATACACCTTAAAGGGATAGAGTAGCTTAGGCTATTTCTACCCCCACCTTTCCTTTTCAACCACACAAACGCCACATAACAAATGATTACGTAACCCATGAAACCGCAGTACTACAGCCACGCTACCGCAAGTCTCCACAACCTCAAGTACCGGGAGACAGAACGGAGCCCAGACCTCTCATTCTTGTGTAACGCCTCTGCTCTTGACAACAATGGTGACTGGCTGATATCCACTCACTTGTCATCTCCTATCATTTTTCTAACTTCATATATATATATATATATATATATATATATATATATATATATATATATATATATATATATATATATATATATTCATTCATTAATTGTGTTGGGGGACAGGCAGCCAAAGTGTATTTATACACGTTAGGCTTATATCTAGGTCCTCCCTCCAATAGGAATTCTTGAAACCGACAACTTCAATAACAAGAGATCACAGATCTCTTGGAAGGTAAGGAAATAAATGTGCCGAAAAAAATATTAGAAAGTTTTCTTTTGCAAAGTGGTAGACCGTCGGAACAAGCAAAGTGAGAAATTGGTGGAGGCCAAAACCGTCCGTAGTTTCAAAGTGTTATACGACAAAGAGCACTGGGAAAACGGGATAACACGAGCGTAACTCTCAACCTGTAACTACACTTAGATAATTAAACTTACACACATAGTGCAGTTCTTCCCCACCCCCTCTCTCACACCAGTGCAGCCTTTCTCCCTCACATATATCTAATGAGCACTCTCCCTTATTAGTTTTTGCACCCTTCCGCAATCCCTCAGCAGCTGTTTCCATGGTAACAGTCCCCCCCCCCCACCATCACCACATCCCACTAGCGTCCTTACCTGTCAACCACACCTTAAATACTTTATCATAATAAACCCTTTTATCTCTGGTGTTATCTGGATATAATCACCTTTCTGCTAATCAACGTCCCATGCTGCGTTGCACGTAATGAATTGTAATGTCTCGTGGGAGTTTGTGGGGATATCTGGTGACCTTTGATGATCTTAGGTGACCTGTGGTATTCTCTATGATCTGTGGTGACTTGTGGCATTCCATATTGTCCAGTGATAATCTCTGGTGACCTGTGGTGATGTCTGGTGACTTGTGGTGATATCTCCTGGAGAGAGCTGATGGGAGAACATGGCACGGAAGCATCATGGCAAAATTTCAAGAGTCATCACGGAACTCCTTCAAAGATATGTGCCGAAAAGAAGAAAGACAAGAAAGGGAACTAGATGGATGCACCAGGTCGTAAAACGAGAATTGGTAACAAAGAGGACCCTCTGGGGAACGAAGAAATCCACGATGGACATCATTAATTATGAGGTATACAAAGGGGCACTAAACTCGGCCACTCAGAAAATCAGATCAACCAAAATTAACTACGAAAGAAAACTTGCCCGAAACATAAAATAGGTCCAAAATCGTTCTATGCCTATACAAGAGATAAAACCAAAATAAAGGACTCAGTTAGACCCTTGATAGATGAGACTAACCAAGCTATTATGGATGATAAATGGACAGCAAACACTATAAATAAATATTTTACATCAGTGTTCACACTCAAAAGGTTGGATGACATCCCATCACCCACACATGTTTGAAGGAGGTGGGGCGAATAAATTTAAATTCAAGTTAAAGTATGTTTATTGAAACAAGAAAAAAATACATCTCAAAGGGATAGAGTAGCTTAGGCTATTTCTAACCCCTAATGAATTTAAGTATATACCCATAACATGCGAAATAATTATAAAGAACATTGACAAACTAAAAAACTCAAAAGCCCCAGGTGTGGATGGTATCCAATCCAGTCATAAAGGAGCTGACAAATATGCCAACTGCTGAAACTACCTTTCACAAAATCTCTGGACCAAGGGGTAGTCCGTTTAAATTGGAAATATGCAAATGTCATCCCCTATTTCCAAAAAAAAAAAGGCAGAGCAGAAAAACCAGCCGATCAGAGTGACATCATACATCTGTAAGCTCATGGAGAAAATCCATGGGGAGAGGAATCTTTCACCATCTTAAAGAGAACAATCTTGTACAATAGACACAACATGAGTTTGATAAGAACAGATCCTGCCTTACAAACTTACTCACATTTTTGGAAACGATAACCAGCTACTTAGATAAAGGCCTTCCGGTGGATGTAGTATACATGGATTTTGTTAAAGCCTTTGATAAGGTATCACATGAAAGACTGGCAAGGAATTTACAGGCCCATGGAATAAATGGTAAAATGAAATAATCCATAAGAGCCATGATGAGGGTTCGAACCGGTAGGTTCCCACACACATACTGAACAAGTTAAGAGGATGTTGATCCGGACATTTTATTCAGAAGGTCGGATGTAACAAAAACAAGATGCAACGGTTTCAAGCTCAACATACTGCAATGTAGGACTGAGAACAAGAGCCCACAGGGTTATTAACCCATGGAACCGCCTACCCGCCGAAGCCGTAACTGTCAATATAATTGGCAGTTATGGCTGACAATTATAAATATACCTGGACTCATCCAGTAATTACACTTAGGTAATTACTGTACACACAGATCCTCATGGTGCAACGGACAGCACTTGGGGTTCTCAGCCTAAAGACATGGCTTTGATTTCCAATTGAGGCAGAAACAAATAGTTTCTTTCACCTAATGCCTCTGTTCACCCAGCAGTAATAGGTACAGTACCTAGGAGTTAGTCAGACCAATATTCTCAAAAATAAAATAAAAATGTTACTTTATGGTTTTGACTAAATAAATTATCTCTTCAGAGGAATACTTCATTATGATAATTGCCATTATCCTTACAATGCCTGCCCCATAGGTGTTACAGTATAAAGGTTGGACAATAAATGGATATTAGGAGAAACAAACTATTAAATACAGTATGAAATTTTTTTTATATGTAAAAATATACACTGTACATTTGAAAAATTTGTCAATTCTTGAATGCTTAAAATTGATATCACAGATAAATTTGTGTTCGTTGAGGAAAGCAATATTACACACCTTTTTATATTTTTATGCTAGAGGTCCATTATGAGCAAATATAAAGACTAAAAACCCAATTTTAGGATTTAGCCTACAATTTTGCTATTTCAAGTTAGCTATACACATCCTATTGACACAGGAAGGTGAGACAACTTCTCCAAAATATACAAAATGGTTCAAAGTTATGGTGCTTATAAAACTACTTAGATCACCAATTCATTTCTAGAACTTTCAATGGATGGTACAATACATAAATTTTTTTGTAAACATTTCAAATGCTAAAGATTTTCAAAAGCACCTGAAACAATTTTCAGTAAACTCTACACACTCGACTGTTACTATGCAACTGAAGTAGTTGCCATTCACTTATTCTGAGAAACATAAGTGTGAAAAGAAACTAAGAACACACTCTGCAGATAAAGACATGAAACAGCTGACAAGAAAAGAGAGACGACAGAAAGGCACGGCAGACAAAACAACACAAAGAATACAAAAACAGCATTCGTTGAACAAAGCCAATACGAAGGTTAAGAGAGGTAGACAAAAATCAAAATGCCCAAGAGGCTCTTACAATGTGAGTGAAGCTATGAAAGGAGATCTTAACAGTTACTCCCATGCCTTCCCAGTATGGCCAACTAAGCCCCCTACCTCTAAAGTATTACCGAAAACAAAATAAAGGGGCAAAATATGTTGTAAAGCTAAACGATACTGAAATGGTGCAATTTTGCTTTGACCATACAGTGTTGTAATATGTATTACATTTACAAAACCATCATTATCATTAGAATTTTTTTCTCACTTTTAAGGACATTTGAAGAAATTTACCTTGAGAAACACAAGAATATAATACTATAATACTTCTGGTATCGTATTCAAAATATACTGACACATCAACAACTCTGCAAATTCGAACAAAAACATGTCAGTATTTATAATGTACCTAATTTTTGGGATAACACAATATTTAGCTTAAATATAATTTATAGATAGGGGCATTACCATTAATTTTTTGTGTAATGCATTGTGCTAGATCATTATTATTATTAAGGTATGAAGACTATCAAAAATTCTAACCTATACACTTCACTCAAAACTATCTATGTTACACCCTGTATTAGTAGACACAGGAACAAATGTACACTTGTACATGATGACTCACACAGGTGAACTCTCACATGAGCACTCACAATGGGGTACATGTGCAGGATGCCAGACTTGTCTAGTAAGTGGCAACTGGAGTTCAAACAAATCCAAAGTAATCAGGATGTGAGCATAACAAAAGGGAACTGATGGTCTAGTGACATGTGAGAGGGAAATAACTATTACGTGCAAAGTGAAAGGACATGGATATTAAGAACAGCCTTCAGTAATTTCTGTGTACCACACATAATATACCAAAGACCAATATTTGAGTTGCAGTACCAGACGGGACCCAACCCCTAAAGTACACACACGAAAACTTAGAGAAAAGCACAGATGTTTTACATGACACTCTATACTGAATTATATTGGGTAAGCTGAAAGAACAAAATCTCTCATTAGTGGAAAAACAAATCAATTCTGGGGCATCAACAAAGTGAATAAACACATTATTCAAAAGAAAGGGACCAGGACAAGGAGAGAGAAATTGAAAATGACCACCCAAATAATCCAGATATAAAATGAAACTTCTTCAATGTGACGGCAATAAATGTAATGAACTAGGAGTAGAAGCAGTGTTGACAACTGCCCACAAGTGGATTAGAATGGAAATATGACAAAACCCACGGGAAACTTATACATTACTTGAGCCAATTAATGGCTAAAGAGTTTGTAATCATGAGCTAGAAGTTATTCCCTACAACTAAGTAACTGTCAAAAGAAGGCACCAAGCCTTGTTCCCTGCAAATAACTAATGAGTGAATACAAACATAAAGTTAAGGGATTACAGACATATGCAAATATTCTTACGTGAAGAAATAGGAGCTAGGTGGGTCATGGATAAGATGTGTAAAATACTGTATTAAAGGGAGTCGATCAAGTGTGTTTATAATGAGCAAAAGCAGAACGAGAGGAAATGCATCAAAGTGAAAAATATTAACTTATTAATGTCAGTAAACACTTTCATCAATGTGAGGGCAGTGTGCAAGTGAAATGAATTAGAACTAGAAATAACCGAAATTAATTCTATCAATAACTGCTATATAGTCATAATTAGCAGTTATGGCATAACACGTTATCCTGATAATTACCTTATCTCCATCCATATTTTTAAAAGCAGATATAAACAAGAAATACAAGAATGAGTCTTTCCATTAGACAACAGGCAGTTGGAAAGACACCCAGAAGTTGAGGTTCAGTTCCCATAAAATGTTAAGTACACAGTACATACATAATCTCACACACACTTAAATGCACATAAACACACACACACACAAAAATAGAGAATATGTAAGGACTTCTTTTCACTGAACAAACAAAAGGATTAACAATAACTGAACAGAGAAGTTACGGTCTCGCTTCAAGCAGGTTGCTATTCAATCCCCGGACTGTCCAAGTGGTTGGGAATCCTTCCTTTCTTCCATCCAATCCTAAATCCTTATCCTCATATTTTTTCCAAGTGCTATACAGGTTTAGTGCTAATTCTCCTGATAATTGCCTTGTCTTGCCACAAGTGAGACATATGGCTGTTGGCTGTGTGGCATACTCATGCATTCTCTCAAGCCATTTACTCACCTGATTGCACAGTGAAGATTATCTATGACAGGTCTATCTTGTCTAAAACTTCGGTAGTGGTATGGTCTGGTAAAATCGTAGAAGAATTAATCAAAATCAAAATTAAAATCTAACCAATTACACATTCCTGTTTTATGAAATTGTAACTTTTTGTTTTAATTATATGAGAGCTACTTTATTTATTTTAGCTTGCTATGGATTTTACCAAATGCTGTACATTACATAGTAAGTATGTCAGTATAATTATATTTGACAGTTAAAAATTTGTAAGTCAAAGGAAAATATTACTTTTGCAACAAGACGCACCTTTATACAGCATTTTAAAATCATCTATACATGAGAATTGTCAATATTTGCATTACTATGTAAAAATATACTAACTGAGAAACACAGTAGTGCATAATAAAAACAAATATACTGTAATTTCAATAACTTACAATGTCACTAAATGAAAAAAAAGAGCAATACCAATCAACTAATAATGGAACCAAAAAAAATAATTACCTTTGTTCTAACTGCACCGGTTTCTTAATCAATTTAAAGTACCGTACGGCACAATGTATACATTTCTCCTAGAAGATGTAAACAAATTAAGTTTCCTCAGGTGTGAGGAGGATTCAACTTCTCATCTATCTGATCTTAACATTATAAAATCAATGCAGTTTTCTCTAAGTTGGCTAACAGAGGGTTCTCCATCTAATCACATATGCATAGTTATCTTTACTTTGGACTTAGTCATTGTCAAACAAAATTTTTCTTTCTGGGACTGTTATCCTTGCCATTCAATCTGCTTTTACAAGTAAAACAGCAAGCAGTTGTTCAATATATATTCATTAATTCATAACTACACTTTCTTTACAAAATGCATACATAACAATGCTTAGCCTCAGAAACAAAAATCCCTTCTAGCAGTTTAAACTCTAATCACATATGCATAGTTATCTTTACTTTGGACTTAGTCATTGTCAAACAAAATTTTTCTTTCTGGGACTGTTATCCTTGCCATTCAATCTGCTTTTACAAGTAAAACAGCAAGCAGTTGTTCAATATATATTCATTAATTCATAACTACACTTTCTTTACAAAATGCATACATAACAATGCTTAGCCTCAGAAACAAAAATCCCTTCTAGCAGTTTAAACTCACGAATTGCCACCAATAAAGAAGAAATTTGACTCATGAGTCATCATCTGAGTCTCCTGCTAAAATATTATTATGTCCAGGAATTGTCTGAGGGTCAAATGTAGACTCAAAGCAGCGACGGAAAAGAAATTTTAACTTCTTAGAGGGTGGAGTTCCAGGAACAATATCCTCCTCCTCCTCCTCTGCAACCGTATTTTTTACATCTAAATTTGGTAGAGATATCTCAAGTTGGGATGTATTTCCATTCATGTTACTAGTATCTCTGGGTTGCATTGATGATAAATGTGGTGCAGCCACATTACGGAGTGGAGTACTTGGTTTTCTGAGACCTGTAGACTTGCAAGGCGAGGATAAGTTTCCTGTAAAGATTACACAAATTACGGTATCAGTTAATTAGCCACGACCGTTCTTATTAGTATTCTGTATGTATATCCCGATTATTTTGTAAACATACAATTATATTCACATCCAAATTACATTACATTTTCTTGACACACACACATTGTTAGTATCATGACACATTGTCATTTATGCTCCCCTTTGAGTAGAATTTGTGTACTTCCAACATTATATATTTCAAATAATTTGTTAGTTGATAACATTCTGCATTGTCAATCTACAATATGCATATGAACCAAATTTTTAAGTAGTGCTCCATATGCTCTGATATGATGTGAAGCTGTATGCTGTATGGAGATAGTATGAGCATATGCAAAACATGGTGTACAATATGTTGGTGAAAATTTAATAATTATGCAGATATGGGACACAGAAACAGAGGCTGACTGAGCTAATATCAGTCACTAGGGCCTAGGAATACATTAAATAAATAAAAAACTATATCAGATAAGTGTGAAATGCACCTTGTGAGAAAAGTATTAAGGCCAAATATATGATTAAGTCTCGAATGGAGTGTGAATGTCTAAACTGGAGTATGTCAATGTCTAGTATGGAGTGAAGAACAGTCTAGTATGGGGTGTGGATATGTCTTAAGTGTAAGTTTAGATTCTGGTACCGTATTGCAAAACTGAAATTTTTAAGTTTTCTTTCAAGTGTATGTTTCTGTTAGCAAACAAGAATGAGCATGCTAAAGGTATAAGAAAGCTCTGGTATGTAATGTGTGTGGAATGCTACGATAACAAGAGATAGATTCCTATGCAAGGGGGCATAAAAAATGTAGAAAATTAAAATGGCAGATATTATAGAAGAGTAGATAGGACCAAACATAGACACAAATGACATTTGTATACACAATTTTATGCTAAGCTGGGCTTGTTTTAAGCCATCACATTTACTAAAATAAAGTTAATACATTGGTATAAGCGTGTGAAGAAAGAATGCTAGAAGCAGAAATGAGTAATTATCACTGACAGATTCAACGTCAAATATGATGCATGCAGATAAAACATTTATGTTAGAGCATGATAGAGATTTATGTAGACGTATTGAAAATAGTATTAATGTGTGTGGGAGATGTATGTATAATATGAATGTGGATGAAAGTAAAGACATATTGATGGATAGAAAACAATATTGTGTGTGTGTGTGTGTGTGTGTGTGTGTGTGTGTGTGTGTGTGTGTGTGTGTGTGTGTGTGTGTGTGTGTGTGTGTGTGTGTGTGTGTAACAAATGTGAAAGGTTAAGTGCTTCAAGTGGTCACCAGGAATGCAAAATTGATAAGAGGGACTTTTTAAATAAACACTGCGAGTAGGATCAGTCAGGAAAAGGAGACTGGTGCCATACACAGATGCAGCCAGAGGGCTGAAGGAAGAGGTGCTGGTGCTGGCCCTTATGTGTGGATGTGAGATGACATGGTGGTCTAATGAAAAATCAAGAATTATAGCAACAGACCTTATGAGGAACATGAATTGAGTGTGCAAAATGCATTTGCTATTGTATGGGATAAGGCTGGGCACAAGCAATTTGGTAGGGAGAGAGTGTAAATGTATTTGTATATAATATACATGACAATTCATGAGGAGACTGCCCTGTACACCTTATGACAAGGTGGGGGGGGGGGGGGTTGCTGCTTATAATGGCTGGAGTGTGCAAGTGCTTATTTTTCTGTGATGCTCTACAATATAAATGATATAACAAATGAATCTATGATATTTATATTTTATTCAATCTATAACTTTTCAATACTGTATATTATTCAAATTTTTTCTAGGCTGATTCCTACCCCACCCGGGTAAAGGTGGAGAAACCGGGTAAAGACAATGAATCAATAACAGATTGCAATACTGAACAAGGAAAAGAGAAAAGATACTCCTATAATGAGAGTACAGCAAATGTAAAACTGATAGGAAGATTGAATGACTCTTTTTTAAATGTTTAAATGATTCCCAAATCAGGACTCAATATCAATGTCAATGTATTTGTAAATATTTAGATACAACCTAAACAAATATGACACAAAAGAAAATTAGCACCTCTTAGCTATGATTTTGAATCTGTGGCAGGCTAAAAATGAGGACAAATGATAAATGTAGGTACACAATAGTTCTGATAAAAGACACTGATAAAATAGTTCTGATAAAAGATAAGAGAGACAAAAGACATAATTATTAACATTATTAACACATTAACATAAAGACAAAATTAATGCATAAAGAAAGGCAATGAAGGAGGCCATCCTACCTCTCTTTCCATTGGAAATATTATTAACTTGTTCAACTTGAATTGAATCGTTAATGGACTGCGTTATCCTATTCATGGCAGGGGTTTGTGAGCATGAGGGCGACTCAGGAGCTTGTTTTTTGCGTACTGGCTGAGTGATACGCTTGCCAGAAGTGTGGCTTCCTGAGATCTGTGTATCTGGCTTCTGAGACAGGGTTGCTAAGACAAATGTTCCTTCAAACATGGGACTGTTGTCAATGCTGAATATCATGGGGCTGAAAAGCAAAACATTTATAACATTATTCAATAAATAGTAAATATAGCAAATATTGACATTTGTTTTCTTACTTCCTTAGCAGGAAAGGGAGGATAGTGTTTCTCTAAAGGTAAGCAAACGTTTCAAACACTATTTATTGGAATTCTAATCTATGGTATTTCCTTTACTTTCATTATACTGTACCATACCATGCCATAAATCACTGTAGCTTCATTGAAAAATAATACAATATTTATATATATTCATTTCATGTTGGTTTATATAAAAACCTGATAAAAAGAGACTCCACAACTGCCCAGTTCGAGGAGCCATAGGGGTCTATGTTCTTGGGTCAAAACCGAGCGACCCGGGTTTAATTCCCAGGCAGGATAAAAAAAAAAAAAGTTGGGCATATTTCCTTTCACTTGATGCTTCTGTTCACCTAGCAGCAAAATAGGTACCCGCCTGCTGCTGTGGACTGCAATCTTAAGGAAGGTTAGTAGTTGGCCTAGGGTAACCATGATAATAAGCCTAAGTTCAGATTTCCTGTCCCCCCACAATGGAAATAAAATGTAGTCAGCCCCTAATCTGTGCAAGCTCAGAGGATGCAAATTTGTGCCTGAGCAATTTCCTTATTGAAACCAAAACTCTAGCTACTTGAGGGGTAGACTTGCTCATACATGAGCTGGTGCAAGTTTCACACTGCAAAAGTTATCATTTCTATGAAACGTTCCTTGCTGATCAGTCATTTTGATTCTCAATGGTGATTTCTACGAATTTATTCATCCTTCATATTTTGTAATTTCTATTCCATTTACATATAGTATGGTACAATCCTCACAAGTTATTTTCATTCCTCATTAATTCATTTGTAACTTTCTACATTACATTCTCTTACCTTCCTGGTTCAGAAAAATGTGATGAAATGGGAAGATTCACTGGCTCAGCAAATGCAAGAATGGCTCTTAGTTCTTTGAGGCAAAATGTTACCTCACATTCACTGGAAATATTGTAATCATCAAACTCTCCTGATTCCAGTGTAAGCATTGTGTGAATTGCCTTGCCAGGGTCTGAAAAGAAGCAAACATTTAACAAAATGCATATGCAAAATCTAGTTCTAAGCAACTAAAATGAATGAAGTAAACAAGGAAAAAGTAGTACTGTAATTTAATATCTATCTAAGAAATTACTGCTCTGCTACATATTATTTTCTGATCATTCTTAACATCAGAAAATTTTGCTGATATATGGATAAAAGCAAACATAATTCCAATGTATAAAAATGGAAACAGAGAAGACCCTTTAAATTATAAACCAGTATCACTGACATTTGTGGTAGTAAAATCTCTAGAAAAATGATTGTGTACTATACAACAAAATAAAATTTGTAATCATACATCAAATAAAGATACCAATGGAACACTAGCTCAAAGCATAGCTTACTCGTTTTCACTCAAAAAGTAATCCTTAAACTACAAAACACAAGAAAAATAAAAAACACTGAAAACATTCCATTACCTATCACAGTTATACATGTTACATACATCTTACAATATACTCAAATTTGTAATACTTTTTTCAAATAAAATTACATTGCAATACAGGTAGTAGTTAAATTAACACTAAATGAATTTTTGGTTTATGCTGAAAAAGCAATTTTAATCTACACAATGCAAGTGTAAGTGAATGAGAAAAAATGATTCATACTTGAAACCCAAGACTCTTAAATTGTGATGTAAAACCATTAGCATCTCATGTTTTGGCTTGCATTCTGTTTCTTTTTTGGTGAATATACTGCTCCACCAACACTGAAATGCCATTCATTCACTTTCAACTGAAGAGGGGAAGAGCGCATAATTATTTTCTGGCAAGGAGAGCCACATTACGAAAGACTTTCCTAATTATGTAGATTTTGTTGACTTCCACCATTGTAATGGGCTTTCATCGCTATTTACCATTTTCAAAGCGTAATATTTAATTATTTAATTTTTCAGTCTCTCTTCCTTTGTCATTCTTATTTTGTCTTTGATTTGAAATTTGGACCTCCCTTTGTTAATTTCCTTTTCTTCTTTAACTCAGAAAACATCTTTCAAAACTGAAGTTGAATTAATTTTCATCATCACCTTTGCTACCAGCTGACAGGTCAGACTTTGGCTTGAGAAATGTGACCAATAACAGATTTGGAATCATTTATAGAGTATGTATCTTCAGAGCTAAAATGGATTTTGTTATTAAATGTTAAAGAATTGTTTTAAGAATCAGAAATCATAATAAAATTCCTCTCGATTTAATACCGATTCTGATTACTGACAAATGCTCGATTCTTCTGATTCTCAATACCTATTCCGATTAATCGTCCTATCCTTACTTATAAATACTGTACAGTATAACTAATGACCAAAAATAATTTAAGTAAGGTAAGTTTGAAAATAAGTAGCTCAATATGATTATCCATTAATGTGCATACATACAAGAAGCAAAATAACTCATTTTTAAAATTAGCTCCGTGTACTTATGCAGACGAGGAGTCACAATAACGTAGCTAAAATATGTTGACCAAACCACACACACTAGAAAGTGAAGGGACGACGACGTTTCGGTCCATCCTAGACCATTCTCAAGTCGATTGTGCTTACCATGTACTTACCTCCTTAGGAGCGCTTCTTTCAATACCTTGTCACATTTTTAATTGAAAGTAACTTGTAAAAATCATCCTTACCAGGCTCATCATCAACATAGTTCCTAAGAACAGTTTTCTCAGGCGAGACACAAAGGGTAACTTCCTCCTGGTTAAGCTGGAAGTTGAGGACAGCGTCACTCAGAACCCGAGATTGACTTTGGATGTGGTTTGTGCATGAAGTCTTGTCATACACAGCCTATCGGTATAAGGGGTATATATTGCACTATAAGCAAGATATGCTGAAATATAAGGGAAGTCAATCAGTTCACACAACATGTTACAAATGATGAATCTGTTCATAACATTTCTTTTGATATGACCAGATATAAAAGGTAAAAAAGTAATATACCTTTATATTACTTTTTGACAGTCACCCTTGACTAAATACACTAAGCTCATTTCCCTTTTAATTTGATTCTTCCAATAAGATATAATTTTTTGAGTTCCCCTTCATTCAAAGAGAATAACTAAAACTGGAACTGAACTCAGAATGTATCAGATTTATAATTTGTACAAAGGGAGACAACGACGACACTGTCCTGCACTCTGGGAGACTACCTTTTTTAAATTTTAATCATTCACTTCCTACCAAAGGAGCAAGTTAAAGATCAGCCCAAGCTTCATCTTGAGGCAAAGCTCAATGCCGAATACACTGTGGACAGTGTATTCATACTGATACACTGTCCACAGAGCATTCTCTTTCTCAAATTTACCATACACTGATAGTTCTCTACACTGCTCCATGGGTGCAGCTGGAAGTGCAGTTGTCCTAACAATGAGTGATGGCTTATATTTTGTGTAGGGAGTCTGTATAAACAACCCTTCAGATCGAACTACTATTTGCCTTACTTCTTCCCTTGAAATGTGTACAAGTCTCCAAACTTGATACAAGTACATTAATTGTAAGTGATTCTGTATCGTCCATAACTGAGCTCAACTTTTTAAGACACAATTGTAACATGCTTGTGTCTGAAGATATTCACAAATACAATAAAATTTTATGTGGATTCAATTTCATGTTGGCCTCCAAATACATGACAGAGCTACTGAGTTAGCCAAAGAATCTGCCTTCAAAGGAGTTGATTATAAGCTAGGCTTTGGATTGCCTATAAGCTAGTTTTCAGAGAGCCACACACAATGTGAATTTCAGAGAATAACACAGAGAACATAGAGGTACTTTGAAGTAGAAATAATAAAGTAGAAAAATGCTGAAGGATCTAAGTAGGAGCAAACAGTTGGCCCAAATGGAGTGTCACGTTGGGTTCTAAGTGAGTGCACATTTGAGCTGAGCACGCTACGTCAATTTAATTTTCAGTTATCTTTGTGTACAGGAGTCTTGGCAAATACAATATATGAAAAATGGCAAACAGTTCCAATTTACAAAAATAATAACAGAGAAGACCCTTTTAATTATAGACCTGTATTACTGACAAGCATGGTAGTCAAAACACTATAAAAATAATTGAAATCAAATGGGTAAAAGACTTGGGAGAGAAATGATATAATAACAAATAGACAGTATGGTTTTTGAACAAGAAGGTCCTGTGTAACAAATTTACTTACTTTCTATGATAGAGCCACAGATATAGATTTTACAGAAAAAGATAATTGGGTTAACTGCCTTTACCTGGGCATAAAAAAATATATAGGCTTTTGACAGTCCCACAAAAAATATAAAAGTTGTCTAGGAAACTGGAATATACTGGAGGGGTGACAGGGAAGCTTCTGACATGGATTAGAAAGTTTCTGACAGAAAAATAAGGGTGGTAATCAGAGGTAATGTATCAGACTGGAGAACTGTTACAAGTGGTATACCACAGGGTTCAGTTCCAATACCAGTAATGTTCATTGTCTACATGAATGATCTACCAGAAGGAATATAGAGCTATATGAACATGTTACTGATGATGCCAAACTACTAGGGAAGATAAGAAAGTTAGATGACTGTCAAGCCCTTCAAGAAGACCTGGATAAAATAAGTGTATGGAGCAACATTTGGCTGATGGAATTTAATGTGAATAAATGCCACATTATGGGATGGTGAACAGGAAAAAACAGGCCACACACACACACAACATACAAATTATGTGAAAAGGCTTTAAAGAACTCTGATAAAGAAGGGGATCTAGTGGATGGTTCTAGACAGAAAACTATCACCTGAGGACCACATAAAGAATATTGTGCAAGGAGCCAATTCTATGCTTTCCAACTTCACAATTGCTTTTAAATACATGGATGGTGAAACTTTAAACAAATTGTTCACGACTTTCATAAGACCAAAATTGGAATACGTAGTGGTTGTATGGTGCCCATATCTCAGGGACATTAATAAACTGGAAAAGGTGTAAGACATGCAATTAAATGGCTTCCATGTGGCTTCTTCCAAGACCGAAAGAAAGAAGTATGAGGAGAGGCTAAAGGGGTTAAATATATAAAAACTAGAAGATCCAAGGAAAAGAGGTGATATGATCAATACATACAAAACAGTAACAGGAATTGACAAAATTGACAAAGAATTCTTGAAATTGCATCTTCAAGAACAAGACATCATAGACTGAAGCTAAGGAAGCAAAGCTCCCAAAAAACATTAGAAAGCTCTCTTGTTGTAAACAGAGTGGTAGATAGTTGGAGCAAGTTAAGTGAGAAGACGGTGGAGGCCAAAACCATCAGTAATTTCAGTGTCATATGACAGAGTACTGGAAAGATGGGATACCACAAGTGTAGCTCTCATCCTGTAATTAAACTCATCATACATGTAGAATTCTTTTACAAAAGATTCAAGAGCTCTCTCCGTCTTACTGATGAATGAAGGTACAGTATATGAAATGTATTCAATAAGATTTTTTGCCTCTGCATCTTCAAGGATGGGAGCTCCTAAACATCAAATGCACATATTGTACTGTATATATATATACAGTATATATATATATATATTTATAGATACAAACAGTCACAGAATTTCACTTACTTGTAAAGTTTCGCACTCAATAAAGGGTAAACTGCACGACTTAACAATTCCATGACGACATGTTAGCTGAAGCCCTAACTTGGCATCGTCTCCATCTAGTGTCAGTTTGCATCGTTCCACAGTCTTTTCCAAAACAGCAATTGACTTGAGCACATTTATAAAAGCCTGAAAATTTTAATAGTGCTAATTATAGGAATTCCTTAAATTTGTACAGTATTGGAAAGAAGTTTCCAAGAGAGATTTGAAATCTTTGATTTCCAATGCCTTTTGACATGATCAGTTATACAAGAAGAAATAATGTTAAAGTTGTGGAGAGTAGTGGAAAAGGTTACAGAGGTACATAATGAACTCAGGAAATGAACCTTAAATTCACTTAGCTAAGCAAGTGACAATCTGATAAACTAGTTACACAGTTAAGTATGCTGTATATCCATGGTGTTTTATGATACAATTGGTTTAAGAACTAGGCCACAACAATCTCTAAACAAAGCAGTTAACATCTGTAGTGAGCCAGTTACATATTTACTAATCATGCACCCCCCCCCCCACCCCCCATCCAATAGGCAGCAATGGAAAGTTGTGCATATAATACCTCTCGTAAGCTTACTTTGGATAGTTGGTTAAGATTTCTGGAAGCACCTCATTTTGAATGAAATACACATTTCTTGAAAATGTGCAATAGAATTATCTCAAAATTCCTTCAAAATGTTCATATTCTATTACATAGTGACAAGGTATGTGCATGATTCTAATGATATAGTTTACATTTGGTCAGATCTGCTTTGGCTGATTACATGACTGTGGGTTCTGTTACAAGTGCCCAAGTAGAGTCTGGAGTCTGGATTCAGTACCAAGTTTTGTTTGTAAAATAGGGTACAATAAACGTAAAGGTGGCTTACACACTAGACAATTTGTGTAAGGGTCAAATAGCAAGGTCGGGGAAATATGATGTGGAATATTCTCTAAATTAAATTTGGAAAAATTATAAATGTATCTTACAATATATTACATTGCAAGACTTCATGGATCATTCAGCAGTTAATCCCCATGAGCTTATTCCAGATTTGAGTACAATTTTGTACAGTATTGTAATTTTAGAAGAAATGTTTTTAGAGTGTAAAATTGGTTCCAAGGCAATATTTCTTATTTTATTAACATTTAGTTTATTGTGTATTTACAATGAAAATTGACATATAGCCACATAATTGTCATCATAGTGAGAGCCAAACAATTTACCATACTTTATAGTTTTCAATCTGATCACTAATTTATTATATTAACAGCATAATTCAATCAATTAAATTATTAAGTAAATTATGTAAAATAAATTAAATTATTAATAATAATAAAATAACTAAGATGTTCATCACGGACTCCAACCTTGAACAACTGACATCGCTGAATTTGATTTAAAGTAAGCAAAGCAAATAAGCAAGTACCAAAGTAAGCAAGTAAGCAAAGTAAGTAAGCAAGTACCTTTTCGATTTCCAGGTAATCATTACCATATTTTGATCACGCTTATTATAGTAATAATCAGATACCTACAACTCACCTTCATAGCAACTTTACACTTGACTATCTCATCTCCTGCATTTGACTGTTGCCCGCCTAAACCCTCATCAAAATGAGTGAAGAACCCGCTGCCAAAATGAAATGAAGCAAATGCTGACCGAGATGAGTTGACAGTGCGGAAGATAACTCCTGTGGAGGAAACTATCATCATTACACTGAATTATCATTAAACAAAATAATTTTCAGACATTTCAAATTGTATTTTCTTAATCATATACATACAGTATAAGGGAAAGGAATTATCAGGAGAAAGTGCCAAGCCATTATGACTATATATATATATAACTAGGAAGGGATCAGGATACAGTATAGATTTAGGATGTGACAGAGGAATGATGGCCAATTCCTCTGGTCATGGATTGAATGCCTTGGGTGGTCGGGGATTGAATGCCGACTTGCATGAAGTGAGACCGTCGCTCTACCATCCAGTCCATATATAAACTAATATAATTATTAAATACTGTGAACTCACCTAGTTGTGCTTCACACACACAATAGGAATAAAAATTAAACATACTTTTACAATATATAGTATATAACTGTACAGGTGTACTTCTTTTTAAAAGTTAATGCTTAATGATACTCAATATTTAGTACAGTACTGTACTTGTACAAGTCTTGTAGACCAATTTCCACAACAACACTTAATGTCACAAGAATATTAGTACAGAGGAAAAGCCACACTATCTCAACATGAACTGCACCAGGTCTTTGAGTAGCAGCTTTCCTTCAACACTAAAATAGTGAGGTCCATTTTGTATCCAAATACTGTATTACCGTAAATTGTTTTATAGTGTGCTTGCTTAAGCTTTTATAGATTGAAATAATATTAAGCTAGAAAGTTATAACAAAATAATAACAAATTTACTTTAGAAAATGACTCTTACCTGTAGAATCTGGTTCAACATATAATTCATCGCCAATTTTTGCCATTGAGTGCATAACTCTTCCAAAAACTGAAAATAAAATGCACACACTGTAGTTACATAATTTCATACATTTAAAATTAAAATAAATAATTTAAAAAATAAATAATTTTAGAGTTTTGTGTATTGCAAACTATGCTAGTACATTGCAATTTTTAGTCTATAGAGTATCTGCAATATGTTTACATGAATACTGTACAGCATACTGGTAAAAACAAAGATACTGTACCTCCTTTGGCAAAAAAAAAAAAAAAAAAAAAGTACAGTACCTGTACATGCTAGGAAGATTCATTAGCAAACCTAAGTAAAATCTCCGCTAAAGTAAATTAATCTATATCTGCAAGTTTTGACTGACAAGTGACCTAACTTCTGCACTAGTACAGCATTACCACGACTAGTCCTGAGTTTTACACTTACCTGAGTCACTCTCATACTATTTTATGCAAAACTATTGAATGTTCCATTAAACAGTGGTTGGCACTATATCTCAATGATGTGACATATGTCATTACTCAAGTTCTTCTTATAAAGAGCTTAAAAGTTTACTTAAATCAAGCCCTAATAAATATATATATAAATGTGTTGAATACAGGCTCAGAGAACACTGCACTATATGTCCACAATCAAGTGACTGTCAAGAATGTCTTGTAGAATTATTTTTTCTTAGATTTTATTTGCTTATTTGTCTATCATTTGTTTTTTATGGTAATTTGTCGGACTGCTTACAAAAATCAAGATTTCAAAAGAATCTTTATTTGAAAAGATATATTGTAATTAGTGAAAATTTAAGACTGATTACATGACTGCCGAGGTATGAATCTTAGGAATAAATGATATGTTAATGTGTTATTTAGATACAGCAGTGTGGTGGAAATATTTCCTTTTAGAACAAAATGTTTAGGTACATTTTTTGCACTTGATGCCTCTGCTCACCTGGCAGTAAATAGGTATGACTTATACAGCTCTTGTGTATTGGTGTAGGTGTGTATCCCTGACAATGGGCAACATAATATATATATAAGAGTACTTAAAAAAGCTGAGAACACTTTTGGCAAAACGTCTAAAATGAGACAAATCTTCTAAGAAAACATACATGATGTTGAGGAAATCGTTAGGATTTACCTTTAATATTAACCCCTGGTACAATGCACTTCATTGTTTCAGCGTCATGCAAACTAAGACGAACTAAACATATATTATTCCGAGAGAGTACTCTTGCATGGGCCTTGTTTACTTCAGGTGAGCCTTTGCACTAAACTAAGATATATCCGGGTTTTCTTTGTGTAAAAATGATTAAGTTGAAACATGGTATAATGTATAACAATTAAAGAAAGTTATAAATTAAAATACATTAACTTTGATTTAAATAAATAAAATAACATATATTAACAAAAACATAATGACTTGTTAAAAAATGGAGCTTTTATGTGAGGCTGAAGTATGACGCGTCTGTCCCGTACATCTACGACTTACAATCTGGATTTATCGTGATTCGTTCGAGAGGGTCGCCATGACGTCATATAGATGCATAATTTTGCTTGCAGTACTGTTATAAACCCAATGTACCTGCTTGTATATGTATAAATAATTAAATAAATAAATAACTAAATAAATAAATACTAATACTGGAGGAGTGATATTCTGTGATTCAAAGTCAGCTATTCAAGCACTTGAAAATCCAAAATGCTAATTTAATGTGCTGTACCCATGAGAGTTTACTTAATCATCCTATGAGATGAAGTTATTAGATGAACTCATAGCTAGATTTTGATCTATACTCTGTAATTCTTCATAGAGAATAGGGGATCATCACGTCCATCATTGCTGTGTAGACCGGCTACGCCACGGAGTAGTCTCTGCGGCGTAATGGTAAAGCACGCACCCAAGTTCATGTGTATTGAGACAAGAAAAAATACATCTCAAAGAGTTCTACCATGGTACGCGTCCGCCAGCGCTTTGACCTAGCTGGCTTCGTATCCGCGGGCCCGGGAAGGATTTTTTCTTTATTATTATAATTTTCGACCACAGACGTGGCCACACATTTACAATGCTAAGCAGCATATATACATTTTCTTCTGTCCTCCATGGACAGGAGTTAGAGATGTGTTACGAGAAGGAATGACCGGACGCCAATTCTTAACTGTTTACACAGCAGATAATTGGTTGTTAAACGATTTGGCGGGTCGTATTCCGGAGAAAAAATTAGGATTAAGGATCTGCCCGAAACGCTATGCATGTTAATGGCTTTACAAGAATTTAAGAACTCTTTTTATATATAAATAAAAAAATAAATCTGCTGACGAATCATCTTGTGTGCGATGAGACTTGTATCTGGCATAATTAAAATATTAACTTAAATAATTCGTTTGTTAGACAATATATGATATTCAGATCTATAAATTACTTTAGAAAGGCCTATAATGCATATAAATATTAATTTACACACTCCTGGCGCTATACGCCAGGAATTTCAATATGGCGTTCAAATAATTTTAGGCAGAGGGTCTCTGGGTCGGTTGGTCGCTGACGGCTACGGGGCCGCCAGTCGTCAGGAAGCAGCGGCGGTGTGAGTATCGTCGTTTCCCTCTAGGTAAGGCTGATATATATATATATATATATATATATTTTTTTTGCTAATATATCTGAGCAGTTGGGGGGTACGCATGTATATATATATAGTCTACCTCCGCCTACAATGCATTATACATTTGTTCGCTATTATAACATTGGGGTTTTGTAATGTTTCCGAGGGTCATATTTTCCGTATTGTGTTTTTTCATCGGGTTCTGCAGTATTCAAATGTTTGTATTCCACTAATGCTAAATAGTCTGTCCTCTCTCGGATATTTTGGAAGCTTTTGAGAATTATGACTTGCCAATATTATATGGGTAGGATATTATTACCCCTACCCCTATTCAAATCCCTGAATATGTTAGACATTAAGTCACTGCACATTCTCTCATGTGTACTATACATATACAAAACGCTAAATTGTAATGCCAATCCTGATCTCAAAAGCTTCATAGAAGGTTGTAACAGAACCCATGAGCATCACACCAGAAATAAATACAGTTTTGATATTCCTAGAGTACGACTTAATCAAACCAGAAATGCTCTACAAATCAAGGGGCCCAGAATGTGGAATGACCTTCCCAACCATGTTAAAGACAGTACCTCTCTCAACCAGTTTAAGATAAAAACTAAACACTACCTAATAAATTCCCTGTAACCTACCTCACTCCTCTATTGTCAACCCATGTCCGTTATTTTCTTTTTTTTTAATCAACACTGTTTGTCAACCTATTGTATTTGTGCTGCTTTTTCAGTCATGTTCCCCCTTTTTTTTATCTTTATTTGTATTTGTTCTCAACACTTTTTATTCTTTATGCTCAATTAGTATTAAGTTCTAGATATTAATGTTTTTCTTGCCCGAAACGCATTGCGTAATAGTGGCTTTAGGCATTGTATGTACTAGCTCTATCTATATATCAATCCATTAATGTAACATCACTTGTATGTATATACCTTACCTGAATAAACATCTGAATCTGAATCTTATGTAGAATACAGTTCTCTATAGTGTTAAACCACCCCGTCGTCAGGCTAGGCTCGTTAACGCGGCGGTCGACACCCCTCCTCCCCCTAAGTTTATTGACAGGCGACAGTCCAGTGTACACTATAATAGCTGAATAACTTCCCAACAGGAAGGAGCGGGGACACCCTCCAGAAACTGAATTTACCTGAGGGC